ACCTTTTATCTCTTAATGCCCAAAAAACATTCCAACACCCGTCATTTCCATGACACATTTGTTAAATTGCCTTAATTTGACTTTCAATGACATACCACCTCTACAAAAAAGAGGCCTAAATGGCACTCTTACAGTATACAATAGATTCTTTCCTTTGGGACACCCCTATTAAGGGACACTTTGTCAGCCACGAAATGAGGAAAAGTATATACTTTAACACTACCGCCAACTCTTGTTCAGGCGTCACTGTTATTAAGGGCACACTGTTATTAAGGGCACACCTTTCGGTCCCGAAGGTGAGCCCTTAACGGGGTTAAGCAGGGACGTATCCGGGGGGAGAAGAGCCGTGTGAGCCTAGGCCCTCTCCCCTTCCCCCCCCCCCTGCCCTTTGTACACAGTGTCAAATATTGTTTTGCTAACCAATAAAAAAATTTTCATGGAATCACTCAAAATTACTTCTAAAATATGTAAAATGCATCAGCACACGTTATACATATAATACTATAATTATAACACATAGGCCTAAGCATGAATTGTTTACGCAAATTATAGATACAAATTAGAACATGGTTTGTTATATCTCATTTTGCTGACCTACGCTATGTGATAGTGATAGTCAACTTCGAGGACAACGTGTTACTCTTATGTGGTTACAATTTTTTTTAAATTAAACAAAACAAAGACACGGAGTTTGGTTGTGATTTAAATGCTGTAAATTTTTTTAATGGATCCTACTATGTAATATGTTTGTAACCCGTGCTCACTGCTCTGAGAGAAGCCCCTAAACGTCTATTAATAAAAGTCCCTCACTACCTTGATAGTAGCTCAGTGGAATATTCATTAAAATAAAGGATAATGCAAAAAATAAAATTTTCGGGATTATATAATCAGTGGCGCGTATCTAGAAATCTTGAAATGGGTGCTGGTGGGGCGCGAAGGTGAAGTGGGGGCTCTATGATCAGTTGAGGGGCGCTAATTCAAAGAAAATAAGGTGATTTTAGGTGATTTTTAAGTACTTGACCGTGATTTTTTTGGGGTGCGAATGGGGGGAGGGGTGCGAGTAATTTTAGGAGGGGCGTGCCCCCGCGCACCAACTAGATACGCCACTGTATATAAAACGGCTTTACCGTTTAGGGGGAGGATCTATCAAAAAAGTCAGTTTAAATTGGTCTTAAATCCATAAATCCCAGGCTGGGTTTTTGAAGATATCGGAAATGTGATAATGTATGGTTCAGTTTTGTTTTTTTACCTTTTTGCAAGCTTTTATAAAGTTTTGTTTAATAATAGTAGTACTAATAATAACGATGATGACGATAATGATGGTGACAAAAGATAATTCTATTTTCTCAAATTTTCTCACCTCAACCCCAACCAAGGTGGGGCTGAGGTGGTTGTGGACTACAGCTTCGAAGTAATGTAAAGTAAATACATCAAAGGCAATGTTTTGAAGTTATATTTTCTATGAAACACCACACATGTTAATTAGATCTCTATGATTTCTAAAAATCCCTTGATAAATGATCATGAAGAATTTGTTGACAGTGGCGGCGCCAGGATTTTCCCGACGGGGGTCCAAGGTAAAATACATATAATTTTATTTTTCTCCCCGAAGCATTGTGGTTTTCCCTCCTCTCTCCCCTGTAGTGCCGCCACTGTTTGTTGGTGCTTTATTTTGACTATATAATGGTGATATGATGATAAATTTTACTATATAAAGGTGTAATTTCCGGCCATCTAGAGGTACTATTTCCTCAATTTTTTGCGTCTCAGCCCCGGCCATGGAAGGTGGGTCGGTCCTGTATCTGTGAAAGTCCCTCTCTGGGCCACCTCTCTTTCGAATTCCTGGATCCGCCACTGTTGAGTTATTATAATTTTTGTTAGACCTACTAATATTATTTATGACGTGTCTAATGCAATTTTCACTTTATACCCTCAAAACAGTCTTAAAACGTCTGAGAATGCGCTACCTGCCAGGGGTCTTTGCTCCTAGACCCCACCAGAGGTCCTTGGCGTAGGTAGAGGGACAATCAACCCGAACCCATCCTGCCCCCCTTTGAAAATCCTGGCTACGTCCCTGTGTGGTTGACAGTGTTTTTCTTGATACAGCTGAATTGAATTATTTTTATTTATCAGGCATAACAACAATTAAAACAAACATAAAAAAGAAGGTAAAAATAATTTTGGCTACGGCATGTGTGATCAATGTGGTTTGTTTTGTTTGTGTACAAGGAATCTGTTTTCTGGTTTGCAACACTATATTCAGACAGTTGTATTTTTGCATCATACGACAGCCACACAAAATCAACAGTCTGCTAAATTTTATGATGATCAAATGTAATTATAATAAGGACGAAAAATATATACGATTCCGGTACAGTGAGTACATACACAGAGGGCAGACGCAACATTCACAACATTCATATACAAGGC